ACCTTCACCATGGACAAAGAACAGAACAAACAACTTACCTTCCTAGATATTCTACTTACCAGATCACATGACGGCACATTAAACACACAAGTATTCCGCAGAAATACACACACAGACCAAATACTCAACTTTAATAGCAATCACCCAACACAACACAAGATTAGTTGCATACGAACTCTCTTTAACAGTGTTAAAACACACTGCAATACAGAAGAAGCCAAGAAGAATGAACGCAACTACTTATACTCTACTTTGGTGAATTTCAATTACCCACGAAACTTTATCAACAAAGTATTAAACAAAATACACAACAAACCACAAACTGAAAAACCTAACGAAGATACAGACAAACCAGTAAAAATAGTAACATTACCATTTATAAACGGAACATCAGATATGACATCAAGACTATTCCGACCATTCAAAATAAACATCGCACATAAACCAACACACAAACTCAAATCATACTTCACTAAACATAAAGACCGAACAACGACATTTGACACAACCAACGTGGTCTACATGATACCATGTAAAGATTGCCCCAAACAGTATATAGGACAAACACCCAAGAAAATTGAAACAAGACTCACTGAACACAAGAATGCCATCAAATGACGCGACCCAAAATCACTACCAGCAGAACATACCTACGATATCAACCACACATTTGACTGGACAAAAACACAACTTCTTGGACGCGCACAGACAAAACACGCACGAGAATTCAAAGAGTCATGGTACAGCAAAGACAACAACACAATAAACAGACATATTGACATCCCCATCATCTATTCACAACTAAAGACAAAACAAAAACAACAAACTAATAACACAACGACTAAAATAAAACACTCGAATTTCATTAACGTAATCGATACACCCGAAACCATGACAACGCATCTCATACCATCCAATAATATCAACTCAACTACTAACCAACCAATCAGACGCTCCAAATGCCTACAAAATCTTTGTAAATAATATATTCTTTCATTCTGACGAAGGCTCGAAGCACCGAGTTGAAAGCTTAATAAAAATTTAAAACAAATCCAGAGAATCCTTATCATTGTCACATATATATGTGTATTGTCAATTTTAGGCTATGATGGGCGCCGTGCTATTTGGTCATTTTAATTTCTCATTGCGTTTTTAAAAAGTTTTGTACTGATGACAAATATTGATGATTGTTGAAGCTTTCAACGCGTAAAGGCTTCGCACATCACAAGTGAAGTGACGACAGCAAAAATTTCGTATTTCATTGTATAATGATCGAGTTAATGTTCATGGTACAGATGATATTTGTAATTTATGTAAGTTTCAAAAGAAAACAGATTGAGTTGCTTCTTGTCTTTAATTTAACACAAAAACTGAGCAGTAGATTAACAATGCGTCGCACTGTATGTGCTGTGTATTTTGATGCATTGTCATTATCTATGACTTCATGTTAAACCACACCATGAAGACTACACTCAATGCATTTAAGATTCGTAAGAAATTACATTTATTTGCTTTCTCCTTCACGTTTCACTCTCCACATCACCGTGACGAGAGTGTATATAACTACGTAGGCTAAATACAAGTACAGTGTGTTAAGCTCCACATAGTATTGGACCAAAACGAAATAACATTGATGTTTGCCATGACTTGTATGCAAAGCTGCAATTTGTTCATATTTTGATCTGCTTAGTTTGCACATTGTTATCAGCATAAACAAGGCACAGAATCATATCATTACAAACGAAGCTATTTCGGAAAATTACATTGTTTATGCTACATCCAGTTCAAGCGTTGAGATCAATGATATGGAGATCGGTCGTTTTCTACTTTTTTGCAGTAACATAGTGGTTAACCACTAAAATTATAATGTTTATCAAAAACTCATATTACATTCAACGAGCATTGACTTCACATTAACCTTATCTTAAAATACTTGAGAAAATTACTTTGGCAATGTCAAATACTGATGATATGAGCTTCCTGATATAAAGACAGCACTTCAGTTAGGTGTAGCTAATGAACAAGTATATTAACATAATAACAGTTTGTATGACATATATTCTTCTCAAAAAATGTGCTCCAATATATGTGCATAAAAGTTTTTTTTGTTTATAAAAGACCTTCCATAGTTGATATATTTCATGTCTTAGTACCTGTCGTTGCACATTTGAATCATTTAGTTGAACGGATTGTTCATGGTGAAAGTTATTTTAGAAAATGATAATATATTCTTGATTAAACAGTGGGAAATATTGATAATTCTAGTTCACTACACAGATCTCTTTTACCTAAAAATGACCCCAAAATATTTGGGGTTTTGCATATGCCTGAAACAAGCAATTTCTAAAAGAATAATTCTACATTCAAGATAATATTTCAGATAAGCCCGTGGCATATCTATAGTTGAATTCAAGCTTCTAATTTATAATATAGCAAAACAGGCTCATCACGAATTCTTTTTTAGTATCGAGACCAAATATAAATAGATTATATTTATGAAAAATCGGAAAAGGTATATGATTAAGTTGGAGCTTCTCGTATAAGGTTGTGTGAAATGTGTTGCCGTGGGTTTTGGTGTATTGTGAATATGATTGTTATTAATATTATTGCAGTGTGTGTTGTTGTAGTCTTGGTGCTGTTTGTAGTTCTTCTGTCCTTTTTCTTTAGTTGTGAAATATAAGATGGATGTCGATATTCCTGTTTATTGTGTCGTACAGTACCAAGTTTCTTTGAATTCGCGTGTGTGTTTAGTCTGTGCGTGTCCGAGTACTTTAGTTTCTGTCCAATCGAATTTGTGATTACTTGCTTGGGTATATTCTGCCGGTAGTGAGTTCGGGTCTCGTCGTTTAATCGCGTTTTTTATTCTGTGAGTCGTGTTTCAATTTTCTTTCATGCTTCTCCTGTGTATTGTTTTAAGCAATTTTTGCATGATATCATGTAAATCACGTCGGTTGTATCATGGATTGTTGTTTTGTCGTGACTGTTTGAAATTCTTAACATTATTAAAGACACATATTTGGTTGAAATTGAGACTGAGTGGTAATGCTTTGGCGCTCTCAAATCTCTATATGATACTGGTTTCCTGTTATAAGGAGAGCACTTGATATAGGTAATTTAATGTAGAATATTTAACATTACCTCAGTTTCCATGACATTCTATTCACTACAAAAACCATGTTCTAATTTGTGGCAAAAGTTTTTTGTTATTGTAGACATTTCTTAGTTGAAAAATTTCCTTTCTTAATGCTAATTATTTTAGATATATGTGTATCAGCTCATACTAATAAACAAATTGTTCTATAGATGTTCTTTAAAAGAGTGTGACAAAATGAACCAAGGATACACAATGCAACAAACAGAACGGTCAAAGAATGCAATTTATATCTAATAAAACATTTATACTTCAAACACTTTTGACGGTTCGTATATCTATGTTCATAAAACGCAATAGTAACGTAAATTTCAATACATAAGCAAGAAGATAGAAGCCTTGATTGAAATCGTCGATTAATTTTTGAAAGAACACAATCAGCTAGAAATCCAGATTTTGATATGATTACGAGAAAAACCTGTAAACCAAAGCAAGAGGCCCATGTGAGGTTTTGTACAATGTTATTATAGTTGTAAGTGGAACAAACAAGTCTATATTTCAACTTTTGAATAGTACGTGCAATTATACAAAAGCAAAGATTTTTTTAAGTAGCCAGTATTCATCAGTATTCACGCAAGATAATGAAATTATAGCATTTTATTTTATTTGTGTAAAATCACGTAAATTATCAAGAAACTTCGAAGGTCGTGTTGGTGTTCGACATTCATATTAGCTATAGTTTAAAAACAACTTGTAATGTATAAACGTATTGCTATAACACGAAATAGAGACAACAACGTTGTTTACCAAACTAATAATAAGTCCTGATATAATTTATAACAAGTGCTTTTGCTATCTGATATACAATTACAAAATCATGATATAATACTTTCAGGAACAAGTTATAAAACAAGACCTTCGAAACTTTACTGTACAAAGTTATATCATAGCAACGTAACCAGTATCGGAAACTAACTTGTAAATTGTGACATCTATAAATCAACTGTCTAGTTTACTATAGCGTAATTGAAACATCAAAACATCCTTTGTCTGCATATTGTTTTAAAAGCTGATATTGTTGAAGTATTGCGGGGAAATTTCATTAAAGTACTTAGTTTGCTAACTTTAACAATGTTGTCATAAACATGATCATTGGGTTAGTATGAAATAATATCAGAGATTTATCTGGAAATATCATTGATATTACTCAGTATGCTAATTTTTACGATGTTTTAAAAAAGAGAGAATGCCAAGGTGTGGCCAACCTAAATCATGCTACATGTACAAGAAAAGGTGTTCTTTTTCAAAAGAAAACCGGTTAGACTTTTTATAGGAGTACAACAGGCTCTGAAGAGGTTTTTTGGCACAACTTTCAACTTTTTCGGGTTACCAAATAAAAACATTGTCAAATTATAATCATTTACACTTTGAACCACTTTTCGGTCGACACGCGTAGTTATTTGAAGCATTGATAAAGACTAGTTTAATAAAAGCTTTTGTTATGTACCTGTAATATCAATATGAATCCCAGATAAGTTACCGTCAGAACCAAGTTCTAAAACATAATATCAAAACAGCTTTAATTTCGTCTAGTGTTGTGCATAACTTAAGATAAGTTGCAATTTGAAAATTTGTGTTACTCTTTTATGGGGGAAATAGTGTAGGGGAAAAAACATTGAAGATATTTACTATGCTAACATGGGGAAAATAACATTGAAGATACTTACTATGATATTATGGGGGAAACAACATTGAAGTATTTGGTAAAAGTAAGTAGAAAATAACATTCTAGTATGACGGAAATTATATGAGGGGAAATGTCATCAAAGATTCTTAGTATTCTAATTTTCACGCTGTTTTAATAAACATGACCAATAATTTTGATTATAAAATGTGAATGCCTTCAGTTGGAAGCCACTCTTAACTCAGACATTCTCGTAAATAGATCACACGAAATAATTGCTGCCTTGAGTCGACATCATGAAATTCCACATATCTGTTGCGCTAGTAGCTATCGTCATCATGGTAAGAAGATTCAGCAAAAATTTTAAGTAAAATTTTTCAATGTAATAGCATGCACCGTTAAGTTTTAGTCCATATTTTTTTACAAGCGTTAAAACATTGTTTTTATAATTTTTCACAGATTAACTTTAAAAGTAAATTCTCATGTTTTAATTAAGATATTTATCATTCAGCTTTTATTTGTTCGTCTAATATCATCTAATAATTTCTTTGAATGTATTCGACTTGTAGACGCTTTCTGCTGATGCAGTTGTTAGAAGAAGTAAGTATACAATTTCATTTTCTAACATTGACATGTGTGAGTTTTTGATCATTTCTAAAAGGCTGTTGTTTCTTATTGTGTGATAGCACTTCCGTAGGACTTATTGATAGCGTTCTCATAATTTTAGCTTTTGTCAAAGGCGCTTTTATTGTGATCTATACAGATTTAATTATTAGGAAAATATTCTCGGCTTTTATTTATTCAGTGTTAAAACTTACGTTGGTCAACTCACAAGAGCTCGTCGTGAGACAGACAATTAAAGAATTCTTTTAAGAATAAATATATCATGAAAATGGTCATAATCAAAAAGCTCAGAATATTAGACAAACGCAAGCTTTGCAGGCAATCCCAATATCGATTTATTCTCGTTCGTGCATACACTACGAAAAATTTTAATTTAGTAGAAGCAGTATACTTGTATTTAACCAGTTTAGTGCACCTACCGTAGTTTATTTATTGCTTAGTCCATTTCGCTCACTGTACGTTTTGGAGAGTTTAATGAAAGGCATAAATCAAATGAGCATATTTCGCTGTTCAGTCTTTCACAATTAACAAATAATTTTTGTGCAAATTTACATAATCTCAAATGACTACAGTATTTTTGCAAGGTTTATTTCAATAAAGTATTTTCAATGTTTTAATCGCCACCTTGAAAGTCTTATTTCTAGCCAAAATATACAACGCAGTTATGTGCAAATTACATTACATTCAGTTAAAATTCCCTCGTGAATTTACTTTAACATAAGCTGTTCAATTGCCGCATGTTAAATTCAGTTATTTTGTTGAAATTCACAATTATTGTGCATTAATTTTAGAATGTGCTAAGATTTGCCCCCTGATTTATGCTCCAGTATGTGGCAGTAATTTGGTAACTTATTCCAATCTTTGTAACCTGAGAAGCTCGGCTTGCATAAAAAAGATACGAATTTCTGTACTATTCAGAGGACCATGCAGTGAGTGTTGCTTGATTTTTAGTGTTTTATTAAATTTTGATTTAGTTGAAGTATTAGTAATATTAAATTGGGAGTATGGCAGGGAAGGTTTTTGGTGTACGTACTTTCATTTAGAAAATGAAACTCTTATGACTTAAAACTTATCTCATATAATGAATTTATGGAATTTTAGGTTGCGTTTGCCTCGATTTATAGTATTTTCTTACGCCCATGATGTTTATATGCATAGGTATAATAAAAATCCCGTTATACATGTCTCAGAACACATAGAAATTTTCTGACATTTGTTATGCCAATAGCACCTTTTTTTCGTTGTGTAAGAGAAAGGAGGATTTAGTTGTGCACAAAATTTCATGACTCTTAACTTAAGTTTAACGGAATGAAATTGAACTCAATTGTTTTATAAAACTACATGAAATCTTTTCAAATATCGAATTTTTATATTCTTTTTACAGAATGCTTGCTGCAGCCAGTGACCGGACCATGCGAAGCACTCTTCAGACGATTCTACTATAACGTCAACCTAAGAAAATGTTTGCCATTTATATATGGTGGTTGTGGTGGAAACAGAAACAACTTTAAAAGTAAAACTTCTTGTGCAAGTGACTGTAAATGTAAGTAACGGTGTATTTTATGGGAAATTAGCAATATACATCGCAAACAAAATGCATGTCACTGTAAAGCACTAAATAAAATAGTTCGATTATTAAATTAGTCTTATGAAAAATATCGATTTAACACAAGTGCTGAAAAAAGATTGCCTAAGAATTTTAAATCTGGCATGTAAAAACGAATTTGGCAATTTTTGTATTGATTTTAACAATCTCAGAATGTATATAATATTAATTTGTGCAAGTTTAAGATGACAATTGTGCTCTTTGACAACTTTCGACATAAAAAAATTTCAAGTAACATTTATTAAAAAAATTTTTCATACACAATAACATCTCAATGATGTATGAATAGAATAAATAGTTAAAGAATTTAAATGGGTTTAAATAGGGTTTTGAAATTACATAAAATTTATTTTTCAATAGGTATTGATTTTTTGCTAATGTTGCTCAAAAGAGTCACAAACATGGCGCAAGTCAAAGCATATAAAACCTTAAAAATCATGCAATACTTTACAATAATGAACATTTAAATGATTTGACTTCTCCCCCCCATCGCGAGAGAACTGAAAATAGAGCTATTATTTATCTTGGTAAATTAAGATATCAAGATGTCAAGGGAGCACTATTAAGCTCTATTTTACGGGACACACCAGTTAATGTAATCTGACGCCATAGAAATGTCGAAATCGGTCAACTCCCGCCGAGATTTACTATAAATATGACCTAAGTGAAAAGTAAATAAGAGTGTAGGAGTGCAATTCAACTGACAGGCCTTTGTTTATAATATTGCGGTGTTTTTACGTTTTGTCATAGATGTCTGTATATAATATATAATATAAGATAAAACTGCAATACGTAAATACGATTTATTTTACTTGCAATAGATATTGTTGCACTATGCAAAAATGCACGAAATACCTCTGTATACATAGATCTTAATGATAAGAATTACATTGTTTTTTTCACGAAAGTAAACTCTGCAAATGTGCTCTTTTAAAAATGTAACTTCCCACAAAAGCTCAACTTGATGCCTACGCCGCTGGCTATCTATCACTATATAGCAAGCAAAAATAGTAATATTTTCCTTCTGTACTGAAGGGGAATGGAATTTTCTTTGTTTCCACATGCGTTTAAAAGTGTACCCATTATCTATAGTTTAGGCACTTACGTGAAGCCACCAAAAAAAGGGTGAAATGAAACAGGTAATAACACATTACAATATTAAACTTTTATATGACAATAGTTTCGATTGTTGAATCTAATACTTCATTTTTCAAGAAGCCAATTGCTCTTTAAAGTGCACAATAAAAGAACTTGCACTTGAACAAAAATAGTTTGAAAACAAATATTTTTTCGTTGCTAAAATGAGTAAAAGCAGAACTTTTGAGAACAGATTGCGTACGTTTTTTCTATAGCTACCCCAAATTTGGATATTTTTTATGAAAACATCATTTGTTTATTTTTGTTATGGTTTTAGGAGCTGCGTAAATGTGTGTTTGGTGTTCACATTGGCTTTGTTGAACTTTTTCTTTAATTATGTAGTTTTCTTCATTCAGTAATACAATATGTTAATCTTTTCTTTCTTTATTAAAGACCATTGTTGCAAAATGTTGTTCTTGTATTTTCTCATGTTTTTACACTGTAAAGAAAATTATCAAATCTTTTAAATGTTGTTAACAAAGTAGAAATAGCTTGTTGATAATAGCATACATAAATGTTTTCATTTAGATCACATATTTTGACCAAATCAGTTTTGCAAAAAACCTACGTAAATAATTGAGCATCGTTATGTAGTTAAAACTCAGACAATAATAAATTACTAGTAGCAAGAAGTGCTGAAATTTTTTTGTTATCAGAATTAACAACATTCTGAATAACGAGTTTGAATAAAAGACACTCGTCGCGCATGCACGACTTACAGTTATGTTATTTGTGTGAAGTGCTCGTAAGGTCAAAATGTTTATATTTTCAATAATCGTGGGATAAACGAACAATTGACGCTAGTGTTCGTCAATTGTCGCACAAAAGTTGATGAGCATCGATTAAGTCAATGGCTATCATGAATACCCTAGAATGAGTGGATTTGCTTTTGCGTTTTTTTCTACACATGACTTATGATGACGCAATCGCAGGCAGTATGCAAAGCCTTCACTTTTTACAAAAAACCGATTTTTAGAGTTGATGGATTACATTGCTATTCAAACAGGGTGACTTCAAGAAATTATTCCTTGCAGTAAAATGTCTATCACAGACAGTCATCTTTTACACATGTGTGACTAATGTCTTTACAAAGACATTTCCTCTCATTGCTGTTATAGAAACAAATTTCCTTTTTTTTACTATTTCTTATTCTGTTTCTCCCTGTTGAAGCACTACTATTCAAAAACTAAAATCCTTCCCCACAAAACATACTATGAATACTAAGCATGAAAACCGTTGAAAAAAGTCCATTACAGATGATTTTCCTTTTCATAGTTGCGTCTTCTCAGTTGAAAAAGTTACACTTTCGTCGTCGGAGATGAATTGGCTTTGAAAATACGGCCTTTGTACATAAACCCTCGATTTTGAAAGGCGGAGATTACCAGGATAGTCACATTCTTTTTATTACTTTCATTTCTTACACATCCCCATTAATACGGTACATGATTTCGTCTGTGGTCGTCCTTGTCACCTACATTTAACATACGTATTTTCATCCATGTTGGATACTATTTGCTCTAATCCATCATCGCAGAAACAAAGATATTTATCTTTGAACGCAATGATGATCACGTTGTTTTTGTACTTACCACAGAATTAACCAGTAATTGAAACACAGCACAAGCAGAAGTGCTGAATGAACATTTCACCGCTTTCTTTAAGTGTTGCAAAACTCATAAATTATTCATTAGCAAACGAATGATTTTGCTTAAAGAATAAATCGCATTCACACTTTGAAATTTTCAATTCACGTGTGAGAACCACATTTCTTCAAATAAGTAAATCTTGTTTAGTCACATTGTTTAATATCTTCCCAGAGAGTCCTTATCATTTATTCATTTAGGCATCAATTCCTTCGGAAGATTTACGAACACGCATCTTCATTTTAGTTTACGTTTTTTTATTAAAGACTCAACATGAAACTCTTTCTTCAAAATTTAGTCATATCAGAATAAATTAGTATTCGAGCCACACTATTCAAAGGTAATTGTTGCCGAGCGTCAGCAAAGCAGCACACTATTCTTGACAGTCAATTCACTCCACCCAGTCCTTTTCGATGACCTATATATTCGTGAAATTTCGTTTAGCGTGTGTCTGTTAATTATGGTTAAAATTTAGCACAAGAACACATTTTAAAATATACCTCGTTTCAACAGCTACAGCAACTTTTCGCCTTCTCATTTCAAATAATTGATATGAACAGAAAAACCGAAAGAATTTGTGTAAAATGTAATTAACGATTTGTCTAATTGACTTCTCTGACTTCGTGCTCATGTCAGGGGCCGCGGAGAGGTTTGAGAAGTGAGAGGGCAAAAGAAGGTCGCAGAATCGGATTGTTCTTAGCAAAGTTGCTTTTAACAGATTTATCAGGAATCGTTTATAATAAAAAATCTGTTTGACTTCGTTTGTAAAGTTTCTTATAGTGCGTTCAGACTGAGTATCCTGGCAAGGTGCTCAGGCCCGGGCACCAATATGGACACAACATTTTGACCAGGTCTGGGCACCAGGAAAAGAGGTAGTACGCAAGTACGGTGCTTGAGCAAGGCTCCGATGTGAACGACTACACTTGAGCAACGTGTACAGAGAGGAACGTATTCAGCACATGGTTTTAAAAATTGTTGAATAGAAAAACATGAAGTTATAAATAAACTAGTGGGTACTACGTAGTGTGAACGGCCTGCGAAAATTTGCACGAAACAGGGTATCGTACTCCGGCAATCAGTCTAAACTCGCTATAATTAATCAATCTAACGTCAACTAAAAAATGAAAATAGAACATAAGTGAGACATGAATTACTGTTAAACATCCATATTTATCAAATGTAACTATTTGTTAAAGCAGATTTTTATACTTTTACACTTTACAAAACAAAAGATAAGGAAAAAAAGGGGGAATTGCCTCCCATACCCACCCCCCTTCTCCGCGGTTCCTGCATGTCATACATCTTCAATGCCATTCTATCTTTTGTCATAATAGTTTTAAGTTTTTCCTGTATGTGTTGTATAGTTTCTTAAATGACGCTTGCGCGAACTTCAGCAAACTTTGCTCGTTTAGTATTAATTTAGTACTCTGGTTAAGAAAACTTAAAACTCATATTGGTGCTACTATAACCAATTTACATTCAACACCAAAAGTAGTGTTGTATCAGATTTGACGTTGCTGAATCACCACTAAAATTGGTGTTAAAACAACACTTTTCTTTGACATCAAAAGTGGCGCTGTATCAGATTTCACGGTGCTGAATCAGCACTTATATCGGTGTTACAACAACTTTTCATGTAACACCACCTTGTGATGTCAAATTAGCAGCAATATTTGACACCCTAAAATTACCTGAAGTAACACAAAAACATCTTACACTGACATCTGAACAATTTGCAGTGCAGGATATTCTTTTAACACATCTTTAATTTTACCATTTGTTATTTTTTGGCGCCTATATGGGTAAAACAAGTTTATCATTTCTTCAATTTGGTGAATGTTCCTTTTTGATTTTACCATCTCCGCTTTCATCTGTTCCACATGCTCTTTTCACGTTTCATCTGTTTTGCCATCATTAAGTTGTAGTGCACCATTCATATTTCATTTTTTCAGCATTGGGCTTTAATAGTACCAAATGTTTGCTTCTTAATGCAGTCATTGGCATCATTACGGGGTTTCCTTCGCATATTTTGAATTGGTTGTCGATTGCTGTCGACCAAGAATCTTGTTTTGAATATGATAACATTAATTAACACTACTCATTTCATAGATAATACAATTCTGACAACAAGGGTAAAGAAAGATTTGACTAAATCATTTTCAAAAAAAAATTTGATACAGTGCAATAAGCACAACTGGACAACACACATAAGACAAAATAATTTAAAAATAGCTCTCCTTTTGAAAAATGCAGATCTATATTTCTTATTTTAAGATTTATAATTATGACTGTAAGTGTTAAATGAAATAATACTTACAATGCCTGCTCCAAGAGAATCAGCAAGAAACGGGTACTTTTCAATCATCATAAATGCAACCTTGTCTTTCTCTTCTTTTGTTGGGTACATTGTGTATTGTTAAATTGCATCACAACACTCTGGTAAAATTATCTCTGTGTTTTTCTTTTAACTTTCCCAACTTCAACTCATCATTTACAGAAGAAGAAAACTATAAAGAAAACAAAACCTATTAATACGCCATGTCGGAAAAAACCTGATTGTTATCGGTCTACAGATAATTCTCAATGTCTTGCCCCTAAAGCAAAATGAGAATGTTCTGTACTTCATTATATGATAACTGATAACACAAAAAGTGTTGTGGCAGAATCTTCATCAAGACTTCCAACCGTTTAAGAAACTGGTTTGGCTTAAACCATTTTACAGTAATGACATTAAAAAATAAAGAAATGAGCTAGGGTGCTTTGCAAAAAAAAATTACCTCATCTAAAAATTTTTTCATACCATGCTTGCCTCCTCCAATAAATGTTTATTGCTAATCTATTCTACATAAAGGTCTGTCTTTCAAGCTAGGTATTAAATGGTGTAGTAGGCAAACAACACCAGTAATTAACCAGTTGACTTTGAAGTAAATCAATTATTCATAATCACGTACGCCATTAATTACTAAATAAACATACTGTAGATGGAATCCTAAAATCTTTTATCTAGTTCACATTTGCACATTTCTTTTCTTTAAATGGAAAGCCCCATGAAGATGACTCAGAATTTGCGTCTGATATTGATGACAATTTCTCACAATCTTTGTTTTGCCCTGCTTTATCAATCTAAAACGAGAAAGAGCCATTTACAAATCATTTTTGCAGCAGCTTGCATTAAAGGAAAACTTGATCTGAAAGAAATATAAATAAGCTTACTGTTTTATTGAAAATACTCAACAGAAGATTTTAACATAATATAACAATTAAAAAATAGGTACGCAAGCGTACATGTGGGTACCACAAAGATATGGCAACTAGATTGACAAAAAAATGAAGTAGACTAACGAGTGTAGTTCAATATATAAAAAACAGTAAACGTTACAAAATGTTTCAGATTGCAAAAAAATGCTTTGATGTCTCCCTTCAGTGGAACGACCGAATACATAACCCTTACTGAATCAGGATGAACATAGCAAAAATTTGGGAGGCGTTCTGAATTATAGGACTTGGGTACTTTTTAATATAATGGCTATATTTCATGGAAAAATGCCGCAAACATAGCGAAATTCACACTTATTTGTCGAACGTGCCTCCATGTATTACATGAGGTGGAACTTAGCTCGGCGTGGCTTTATTGTTAAGTTGTAATAAATGTGATTAAAATTGATTCTGAAAAGCATTCATTGATATAAATTCTAAATTTTCAACAGCTTGTCTTTTAATACTACTTTCTGACGCGTTTGATATGTGATATTGTTACTCAACCGA